AGAGAGAGAGAGAGAGAGAGAGAGAGAGAGAGAGAGAGAGAGATAAAGATGTCCAGTTATTTACAGGATTCCTTTGTTTTGTCTGGAGACATTCTCTCTACAGTGTTTCTAAAGATTGTGCCTTCATTGCTCGTCTTCCTCGCTTCCTCACTTCACCAGGTGGATCCAGAGGAAATGAATTCCTTCCTTGAATCCAAACTTTACAAACTCCCAAGGCCTGACCAAGTTTTTCAGTCAAAAAAATAAATCCAGACTGTAACAGGAATGCTTGACAGTAGTGGAAGTAAACAGACTCTCATTGGCTTTTCCTGTACTCAAAAGCTTCGCTCTCTTGGCCCGACATAACGCTTCCCAAATACATGAAAGATCACCGTGACCCATGATGTCAAGGCATGAAGAGCGGCTTTAAGGAAATGGAAGAATTTTAAGCGTTAAGTCATTTAAGCAAAACCCCTGGCTCCAATCAAAACCCTTCTCCGCATCGCACCTCAAATCTGGGTTTGGAGTGGTTGGCCTGGCGGTGTGTAGGGTGGTGGTGCCGGTGAGGGCTTGATCCCACGGGTCCTCATGTAGGAGAGGAACTGGTCGGGGATCTCGGCCAAGACGTCTTTAGCGAGCCGGGCCATGCTCAGGATGTGGTTCCCCGTCCGGTCGATGTAGTCCCTGAACGGGACAAACTGATGAGGGAGGAGAAGGAAGAAACATGAAGGGAGGGCATGGATGGGGAGACGGGGATAAGGAAAAGGACCCAGTGTTTAAAGTTATAGCTATAAAATTTGAGGGGTTACCCTGCTGACATCATCCTTGTAAACTAAAAGATTAAAAGGTGTAACAAGAACAACTAAAGGTGGTGGTGCAGGGGGAATGGTCAATTGAGAGGAAAAGCAATAACTGGAGATACAGTTAGTTTTATAAAGAAAGTCAATCAAGTCACAGAGAGGAAGATTGCAGAAAAAACAGTAGGTGGAAGAGGAAAATGAGGAGGATTGAGAAAAAAGAGCACAGAACTGGGAGTTATATGTATGAGCATAAAATAGAAAAAGCAGAGAAGAAATTCAAACGATATCACATAATCAGTCCCCTTAGTTTCAAGTATAAGTGGAAGATGTGTTTATGCTCCAGAGGAGGCGGTGAACATTATAATAAACAACACTAGGAGCTGGTGACTGAGCAGCAGAAGTAGACACAAGGATTGTTGGATTTAATGTTTTAGTGAGGATATTAGGGATTAATATCTGCTCATGCTATTTAGGGTGAAATTGACCAGTTTCAGGCTTTGACACAGAGAGAGGAGACAGGCACAGAGCCAGCAGCTGCATAACAAGACCCAGTTAGCTCCAGCAACCGTGTGGGATCTAGGGGTTCCATTATCAGGCTAAAACTGGTGAACAAGTCTTACCCAACTGATTTGTTGGGAAGCTTTTTCTCTCATGATTTTAAGTCCAATGTTTAAGTTAATTTAAAGCTAATTACCAATAACAATGTAATCTTTTCAAAAATTCAAAGTCTAAACACCTCACAGCATGGAACTTATTAGAATGATTGTTATGTAAGGCAATGTAAAGCAGTGTCAGCGTCACTAAACGAGCATAATTGATGGTGTAATAATGCCACTTGGCAGCCCAGCGTGACGTCACCCATTGGTTTATTAACTGTGAACTTTTGAAGTTTGGCATTTTGTCAAGTGCCACTTTAGGTTTTTTTTAAGAGATAATTTGAGCTTTCAGTCACATGGTATCCAGACAAGTTGGGTTTTATTTATATCAGTTTTTTAATGTTTTGCTGAAGAACCCATGGACACATGTTGTTCTTGACTTCTTTAACTAACAGGTCACACTGTCGCATCTCATTATTTACATCTCAATACTGTGCTGCCTCCTTCAAAATCCTAATCCACCTGCTGTGATTTAATAAAGGCTCACACATTTCAAACCCTTTTTCAAGTCACTGGTTATACGCCCTTACATTGCAGAATTATATAGATCTGGAGATGTCTCCTTTTCATTTACTTAATGAGCTGTTGTCACCTACAGTGGCAGGATCATACAAGGGGCCAATTTATGCTGGAAAACCTTGCAGTGAAATATAAACCTCGCCAATGTCACTCTGGGTTATTAGCCTGCTGATAATGAGAGCCTGTGGGTAGAGCTGGTGTAATGTTCCACCACTGAATCTTAGTTTTACACCATCTCCAGGTCAGCATAGAGTGCCAGTGTATGTGTGTGTTCTTTAGCTTGTTGAAAAGCCAACTAACGAGTGTGGCTCCCTCGCCCACATGGGTTCAGGTAGCCAAATATGACAGTGGCGGTATAAAGGTCACAGAGGAGAAAACCTGACTTTGACGTGTCAAAGCTGAGCAAAGTTCACACTGAATTTTTGTTGGTTTTATTTTTTCTCGCTGTCTTGATGCAAGGGAATTAAATAAATACGCAAATACTATGGTGGGCCGATGCCAATTCACAAAACAAACAAAGGTGAACAAAGGGATGAATGTATGGTTGAGCACAAATAAAGAAGAGCAGTGACATTTACGAGTGACAGCTGATGACGTGCCTCACTGTAGGCTTTTTAAGATAAACATTAGGCTGTGTCAGAGCTGAGACAAAGTCAAAGACAGAATCGGAGAGTTGGCAGATTTCACAGCAAGAGGGGAGCAAGTCATTATGTGTGTATGTGTGTGTGTATGTGTGTGTGTGTGTCTGGTCCTTTGGTGAACCCTGGGGTCGAGGTGACCAAGTGGCTCTGCACAGACAGAGTTCAGCAGCCTACACAGGAGCTACTCATTTGATGGTCTTTTAACATTTTCCAGACATCAAATGATCATGTAAATGAGTTTTGATTCTTTTTCAAAATTGAGTTAACAAATGACCCTTAGATCAGGACGACTGGCAGCAGTGCTAAAACTAAGTCTGTGTTACCAGCCAGGCAAAGTGGGCAATTTCCCAGGGGCTCCTGAACTCTTGGTGGTGATTTAATTTTAATTTTGTTTGAGAATATTCACCACTAAAAAATCAACTGTCATTAGTTAAATGAGCTAGTATTGACACCTTTACAATTTCAGTTCTGTGTATCTAAATACCAAAAAGTAACTACACTAATATGTTTTGTTAACTACCACAAAGGCAAACATTGGGACAAGTATTTTTACAGTAGTGAGAAACTAAACATAACATAGAGAAAAAGAGAAAGAGAGGGTTAATATAGGCCCAGTAATAATAATATTTGCCTCGATTTAACCCAGTGATGTCAATTTTTTTTAAATTAAATCAGAAAAAGATGGTGGTCAAGAATCTCCCTTATCATGATTGATTTTGATTTCTATCAAAACAATAAGATTTAATATTAGAGAGCTGTAAAAACAAAAGCAGTCAGCGATAGTCTGAGAGAAAGAAAGAAAGACGTGTGTACCTGAACGATGTCTCTCTCAGCATACCGTCCTCTGGATGAAATTCTGACTTCATCACCGTCCAACTCAATCATGGCTTCAGAAAATAAAAGACATGTTAGGTTGACAGAAGGGAAAGAAATGCAAACCTTGTATGTGTGCATTATTGATTAAAAGATCAGACATAAACCAGCAAGATATCAATTAACCTCAAATGTAACCAGTCACTAGAGGATTAATAATAGAGTTGGGCTGATTGGGGTTTTCACAGTCATATCCTGTGTAGAAGCAGTTTTATTTCATGTGAATTGACTGAACCAATATATTCTGTTTGTCTATACAGGGACTTGAGAGCAACTGGTATTTGACAAGTGCAATTTACTGCAGAGCTGAGGCCTATAATTGGTTGAGAGATCTGCAAAAGAATTCTGCATACACTCTGGTACGATGTTTGACATAACATCAAACCAGATTTTAAATGTTTCATGTCTCAGGCTTAACCTTAACCAATAATAAAATCATTACTAACATATTCAAATGTTCTTGTAGACGTACCATCAAATTCTGCAGGTCCAACCCCCACAATGATGATTGACATCGGCAGACAGGCAGCCTGCAGGAGACAGAGGACGAGAAATAATTATGAGACATTTAAAAAATTTAAAAACAATTATTTTATTTTTGTACCTATGTGGGCCATTAATAGAGTTGAGCTGCAAATGAGCTACCTGCCATATATAGTCTACTCTTTGTCATCAATCGTGCTAAATGGGCCCCTCATAGATCATGTCATATTTAAGATTTGCCAGGATTTATATAACATACAGTATGTGTAAGCATATGTGTGAATCTTTGTGTGTCTTCTCTACAGCACCTCCCGGAGCGCTGCGTGTGTCAGAACATTGCAGTGAATAATATTAGAGACGAGAGAGAATCAACAACCCCTGCTTCACTCACTGACAGCTTACAAATGACATGTGTTATGTGTGTGTGTGTAAGTGACAAGAGTGTGTATTAGACAGCGAGGGCCGGCAGTGTAATGTGTGTATTTGAATAGTGTGTTGACCTCAGGCAGCAGAGCAATGGATGATCTAATCAACAGAGCTCAGTTAGTTTTCGCTCCCCTCCGTACAGGTCCTCTTCACGTATCTGCTGCCCTTTGCTCTCTTTTTATTCTCCCCTGTTTGCTCGTATCTGCCGACTCATTTTCTCCGCTCCTCCCAGCCTCCTCTCCTCCTCTGCTCTTTAAAGGCCTGAGATGGATCAGTGCTCTCACAAAAATGGCTGATGTTGCCTGTTCATTTTGTTTGCATTCTACACAGCACACCAGCTGCCGGAGCCCGCAGTGACTTGACAGTGATGGAGAGGATGAACGAAGGGCTAAGAACACGTTGTCAAAGTGAGAACGGCAAAGAAAACACGTAACAAAAAATAACCAAAGTAAAGGTCCCTCCAGCAAAAATAGACAATATAAAAAATGTATTTCTAATTTTAATTGACTCCCCATTATGATTATGTACACTTTGAGATTTTTTATATAAAAGGCCAAATAGATGTGCCTTTTCTTTATTGTCAATACATTTATAAACTTACAGTGATTTACCAGGCTAATAATGAACTAATACCACAGCCCTTCTCCATCTTTCATTCAAAAACAATTTTTTATCAGATGTAATTAGTCCTCTGGGCATCACAGTGCTTCTCATTTACAGATATTTGTTCATGGTTTTATATTTATGCAATCGCTTGACTTGACACTATGAAACACTACACACTGCTGCATAATTATGTCATTATTTTCAAATGTGTACCTATTTTTAATAAATATCCATATTCTTTCATATTTTTGCCCACTTTTCACACCATTCAAACAGAATGATAAGCAGATGCTCAAACATATGTTTATTCATCTGACTGATGTGAAAATCTGCAATAACACAAACAACAAAATACCATCCCCATCATCCACCCACCTGCCGCTCATGGTTGACAGTTGTCTATACATAAACAAGTGGTCTTTCAGATACAACTGTCATATATTACAGGTTCTAACTAAATAGAAGGACGTCTTTTTTCTATCATTACGTGTTGTTTTTCATATTTTTTGAGGCACAGCTATATTCTTTTGTTTGCGGAGCAGCAACTTGGTATGGTCTTCTCCTAAACGACAGATAAAACACTGCCGAAATAAAGAACGAATGCCTCTCCTTAACCAACAGTACATCTTTGCAGTCTCTCTCATTATTGAGGGATCATACAAATCTCTTTAGACCTGCATGACCAATGTGTGTGCAGGGACAGGAGCCGTGAGCATTAACCAAGCTGCAGGTTCAGGTGTTGACAGCAACAAGATGCGTCCTTACATTGACAATCGACTCCTTGGTCTGTGCCATGTCTGATATGACGCCATCAGTGATGATGAGGAGCACAAAGTACTGGGAGCCGTCTTTCACAGAAGCTGCATACCTGTGTACAAAAACAGAAACCTTTGTAGTTATTTCTGTGAAACCAGACAATGATGATTCATTACTTAAGCAAATTAAGCATCTATCTGTGAGGTTTTAATTTAAACAAAATGTATAACTAAATACATCATTAAAAATTTGATATACTATTGATATAATTTGAATAAATCACTCAGCTCCTACTTGAAGAAAGAAAAATCTTAATGTGTCAAGTGCTTCTACCTTCATGTCAGTTCTACAGATCCTCAGCTTAATGTGGCTTACATTTTCTGATGTTGAGTGTGACCTTTCAGTCCCATGTGAGTCATGAACCGACTTACTGATATTTACACACTGAGTTTATTTCATTGGTTCAGTTTCTGTTACGTCACCTTTCTGCACTGGGTTTAGGTTCTGGGTTAGATCTATGTGCATGTGCATTCATGAGAAAACGGATGACTTAACAGTCTACCAGTGTGGATGATGACATCACAGATGGAGAAAGATGGAGATATATGGCAACGTATAAAATGTAGAAGTGAGAGAGCGAGGAAGTACTGAAGTGAATAGTAACTAAGGTGCATGATGGAGTGAAGCAACACGCTGAAGAGAAAAGGGCTAATTTTTTTAAATACAGTATGAGGTGGAAGTTAGATGTAAAGATGTACACATGGGCCTGGTATTTACGTGCATACATTTTTAATTTGAAATGCCATATCACAAGAACACACATCATTTTGTTTGGTGAGTCTTAGAGGTATTTTTGGTGAAACTAGTTGTTTTCCCCTGCTTGTAAATTAAACTGAGCAAAGCTAATTGCATCTCGCCTCTAGCTCCACCCATTTACGTAAAGATATAACAGTGATGTAATATCAAGATTTTGATGTAATTGTAGGTCTAAGAAATCAGGGATAAGTTTGAGCAGGAAAGCAAAGAGATGAGGTCATGCAGAGGGTTTGATGAAAAACAACAGATGAGTGTGGGAAAGAGGAAAGGGGGGTTCAGGTGACAGTACAGGCTGTGTAAAAGATAATTTGCTGCCTCTGTGCTCATGCTGGTTTCACCATTTTCCTTCACTTTCCTCTTCATGTATAACTATGCAATTAAGATTTCTCTAATTTTGTTCTAAATGTGTGAAGTAACCAAACGAGAGATTTCACTTGAGCACATCTCTTTAATTACACGCTTGCATGAATAGTTTGTTAATTTCTTTCAGTTTTTTTATTTTTGAGAACTTTGGCTGGAGCCTGTGTCTGCCTGGCTTTCCTGCAGCATGAATTATGTTCCCTCTGAAACACTTCACACAAACAAACAGGCAATCAGCTGCCAGGTACTTTCTCTGTTTGTGTCCTGAGCTCTTCTCCCTCCCTCTTCCTCTCACTCTTGTTAGTTACCTGGCACTGAGCTTATTAGGAAAAACCTGAGAACACATGTTGAGTGTCAGTCGCAGAGTGAAATGTACTCTTTGTTCTTTCACGCTTCCTAAGCTCATTATATAAGCAGTAATAGTATGTATTCAAGTGTAAAACTGTGTGCATGTGGTAAAAAGAACATTTAATTATAAAAACAAGATAGTTGACAGGAAAGTTAAACACTTAATCAGGTGTGTTTGTGTGATACCTGGCCACGTGGTTGATGACAGGGGAGAAGTTGGTGGGGCCGTAGAGCTGAACTGACTTCAGACTCTGATAGTAGGCTTCCATCACACCTTCGATACCTGCACAGTATGGGTTCTGTGGATTTCCATTCTGCATTTAACACAAGAGGAGACTCACTTACGTTACTGATTTTAGATGCATTCAACAGGTCCAGGCACAGAGCAAGAGCCGATGGTAGAAACAAATTTAGGGATTATTTGTGTGTTTTGTCTTGAAGGTACGTAAAACAATGACCATAAATATACACTGAATTGCTGGTTTATGTAGGACAATTAACTTAAAGCCTCTCCTCGACCTGCGGGCATTTCAATTAAATCGTCCCCACAATGAATATCAGTCAACCCTCCAACATGTTGTCGTTTACCATAAACTGTATAAGAAGATGGATGACGAGTCTCCACTTTGCCCCAATATCCAGAAATGAATCCAGGCGGACTATTTTACGGAAGTGATTGGGGAAAGAACCCGCGGTAGTGAAGTCCAGCTGATACACCACACACCAGCTCAACCACTTTGACTTTTTAGTTTTGTCTGCTTCCCATCCACTAAAACGGATGAGGGAGGGTTTATGACCTATACAGCAGCCAGCCACTAGGGGAGCAGCCAACCCCTGCCTCTCATCCTTGTCTCACTCTCTCACCAAAGCAAACTCGTGGGAGACTCGACCATCAGGTGGTAGCTTGGCTCCGAAGCCCAGTGCAGGGAACATCTTGTCACTGTCGTAGTCCTGGATGATCTCCCCAACTGCCTTCAGAGCCATGGCATAGGCGTTCAGCTGGTAGGGACTCATGTAGTGGAGTGAGGTGGGCTGGGCTGGGTTACCTGTTTGTGACAAAGGGAACAGACACACAAACACAATCAGAGGATTTCCTGTAGACAGTATAATACACTAGGTGATTTGGCACATCAATCAGTGGTAAACCAAGATGAAACAACAGAATTAAAGCCCATTGTTATTAACCAGCTAAATTTACTGCTTTGGTTTGACTTCATCCAAGTGATCAGCTTTTATTATATCTGCAGTCAGAGTTGGCAGGCTGAGATGAAGTATATAAAATGCTGTTGTATTAAATGCAGCATTACATCCCTTCAGTAGTAGGGGGTGCTGCACCCCCAGTAGCACCAGTGCTTTCAGCATCTTTGTGTCAGCCAACAACTGAGCACCTTAGATTTTATAGTGAATTATATGAATTTTAATAGTAAGCTTCTGATATGTATCATGCGATTAATCTCATTTAGTTAAGTTTTTTTTTGTTTTAGGGGCATTAGCTCTGTAGTTAATTTACATTGTTTGCCCCTGGGCAAGACTTTATAAAAGCCAACACAGCATAATACAACAATTTATAGCACAGAACTGACCAAATTTACAAACATAAAACATCATACAAAATATACAAGACATAGGTTCTAATAGTCAATGGACACATTTGGGTTCATGAGCCATGGTTTAAGTGTTGTTTTTAAAAAAAATACTGAAGGTTTCTGTTTGAGAAATCAAATGTGGACTTTGAACATTTCATCATTAAGTTCTCTTCTATGAGTTTTACTCCTTGAATTTTTTCCGCAAAAAACATGTTTAATTTAAATTTACTTTATTTAACCAAGGACAGTAGAGGGAGACCTGGCCAATATAGCATCAAAAACATGTAGTTTGATGACCTTCGTGGACATTTAGGATTTGTTTGGGTTGGACAAATCAAAACAAATCAGCTGTATCACCAAACACCTTTGTTAAAATGGTTCTTAATAAGCCACAGCTTCATGGCTAAAACTAATATTAATCTAGTGGATCCCAACTAGTGCTTTAATATGACACCACAACATGCTAGGGTCCCCGGATTCCATCTCAGCATCACTGATGGGGCTAAATTGACTGCTAATGAACTCAACGTCGAATTAATATGACACATGGTCTTGATCTTCCTGTACATGCCTCTTCATTTCACTATTGAAGTTGTGTTTTAATAAATTGCAGGACACTACTAGCCTGAGTAGCCTCCATTCAGTTTTGAGGTTTTAATGAGAGCCAGACAAGATCGAGTAAAGCTCCACCTCAAACACATATTTTTCTTACACACACTGCCTGAAAGCTCTCATTTGATTTAATAGGATTTGGCTCTACTGCTGCCGCCTGTCCTGCTACAACCGAGCTCAAGGATAGATGGATAACACGGTCCTTCATCACGGCCATAATAGCATGTTACTGCACCCAGCTTTAGCTGCCAGGTGTGATAGAGAGGGCTATTAGGAAACACTTGATTTCCAATCTGCATATATTTGAATAAATGCTCCCTGGGCATTCAGTGCTTTTGTGTGTGTGTGCACATTCAAAGTGTTGGTGTGTTTATTTGAAGGGTTACCATTGGAAGCTGTGAAATCAATGGCCACGGTGAAGTTAATCTGGGTCCTTGGAAGACAAAAGCAGAAAGATTATTCATAAATCAGCAATGCTCACACACACACACACACACTAAACAAGCAGAAGACATGAACTGCGGAACTAATCAGGTCAAAGTGATCAATGTTAGAGAGAGCAAACAGAGTTCTTCCTGCCCTTTAGCTGTAACAGTGATGGGGAGAAAGTGAGTTACCAGGCTTTCATACCAAACAAGCTGTGCTAGCGCTGCTCAGAGGAAGGTTGGTATTAACAGAGAACACTTCTAAAGTTTCTTTAACACCTGCAGAAGTGAAAGTAGCCACCATGATGACTTTTCTACCAAAATTAAACTACATTCAGTGCATCCAATGGCATACTGGTTGGCAGTAGGTGAAGTTTTACAAACATTGTCAAACGTCAAACAACATGCAGAACTAGATCCCGGTAATTTAAAACTAATGTGATTTCGTATCTCATTTTTTATTGGCTTTAATTAAGTTGTGTGTTTCAATTATTTATGTGCTTCCAATCTTAATTTTTTTCCCACTTGCTTTAGATAGTAGTTGTCGTATTATTTGTTTGTTTTAACTTTTTTGCCCAATGGATGTACAAATACAGCTGACTGCAAAACAAATTGCTCCTAGGGAATACTAAAGATATTCTTTATCCATGATCCTTGTAAACATATTATTACAGGACTTAAATTAATAAGCAATCATCTTCAGTCATGCTAGCATCTCTGTGAGGCAGTACTTAGACTTAGAAACTAAGAACAGGACAAACAGCCCTGTTTTGACTTGGGGGTGTGAATGCATTTTTCCTGAGTGGTCAACCCTAATGCTAACCTTATAGTCATAGCAAAAAAGTAGCTAAAATCAGCTTCTATTGTTGTGTCGCATAAATGTTAATCTGGCATAATGTTCATAATAAATTCTCGCTAGTGCCTACAGAACAGGTTGAAATATTTAACTGGACAAGTGGAAGAACTCCACTTTCTAGTGGCACTACAGGAAAGTCAGGGCATCACCAAAGTCACTGGGATTCATCCCCAGGACACCAATAACAGGGTTATTAGTCTATTTCAGTCTCGAACAAAGCAATTGACTGACAGTCAGGTGGCTGAAAACCCAGAAGTCACCATCATAAAGAATGTGAATATCATATCACATATTGTATTGTGTCTCTTCCCATAGAGTGTATTTTGATATCCAATTAGGGTGTAGCTAAAGGATTAGGCAGCTCTGTATGACGATAAAACCTAAAAGCCCATTATTCTTGTCACTAGAAAATCTATTTATAAGCTCTAACATCCTGATTGGATTTGACTTGACTTGTTGGATGACATTAACTTTGTATTTGCATTTTCTGAGCGAAATACAAGTAATAGCGTCAGAAATATGAAAAAAGCATGACCAGACAGAGAGAGGACACAAGGCAGAGCAAAATATCAGACATCACAGCATCCAGCATGAGAAAGTGGCACGTCTCTCTATCTAAACATTTCCTATCCTGTTAACCTGCGGGAGCAGGATGTGGTTAAGCACTCTGTCGGCCTGTCATAGCTTTTTCACGCCAATCTCCACCCACTGCCCTACACACAATTACACACAAAAGCCTCCCTGTCTGTCTTATACACATCCTCTGTATTAGGTTAGTTTCAAACAGCCAGTAGCTCATCATCTTTGTCACCTCAGAGGGGCCATGTGAAGTGCCGGCCAGAGGGGACAGCACAAGCAGGAGGTAGAGAGGGAGGAAAAAGTTCAGGAGGCATAACGGCCCCATTCAGACTTGGTATTAACATCCGTCCTGATAGATTCGATCACAAGAAGACAGCTCTAAGTACGTCTGTTCACACTTGCTATTAAAATGCCTCCTGAATGTGTCTCCTGTCATCTCACTTCCCCACTTTTTATGCAAATACGCAGGTACGTCATTGTTTATGAAGACCAATGGCGTTGTTTTGCAGTCAATCTATGTTTGCAGATGTGCCTGTTGTCATGCGTTTGTTTGAAGGTGGAGAGAGAGAGAGCGGAGTCAGGAAGGGCTGGGTGAATGTGTGGTGTACATTTCTACTATGTAATAAGATTTTACCAATTGTGTGTGTGTGTTTGTGTGTGTCATGATTTATTTATATACCTCATAATCTAAACCTTCAGTAAAAATGTTTTCAAGCTCAAAATGAATGACAATAACAGTCACCATCACTGTGGGAGATTTCATCACGTATTGATGTGAATAAGTGGATGAACAAGGGGTGGTGATGACGTAAATCAATAAGATTCTGTCAGTGTCAGAGTTGAGCTAAATTACAATTCAGTGGACAAGTCTTTGCATCTTGAGCTTGATTGGTATCTTATCTTTTATTATTTAACTGTCTATCTTGTGAAATATATGATTTAATTCTGGCAGCATTTATTTGTTATGTCTGTTAAAAAAGGAGAAAATAAGAAAACAACATTGATTTGCTTCAGTCACTTCAGTGGCTATTGACCCATCAACATAATTTGACAAATATTAAAACTTATTCTTTGTTAACAAAAAAAAGTTGAGTGAATGTTTTCATGAAAAAATGATGGTAAAAGTGACAAAAGGTAAATTACAGAGATTCATAGCTTGGTTTGTGCAGTAGCCTTTCTTGGGGACAGCTGCAAGGACATGGGGAGCTGAGAGATCTGAGTGAATTCTGGTCCAGTTCTTCATGCAGGCACAGACAAGCTTCAGCATTGAAGCCTAAATTATAAATGCCTGAACAAGCCACAACAACAAGGTGAATTGGAGGACGAAAAATGACAAAAGGCAGCAGAAAGCTAAAAAGAGGGGAGAGCATCTAATGATTAATCAGGCAGTACAAAAAAAGATGACGTCAGTATTCATAAGGAAAATAATTCAGAACTGTTCACTACAATTAAAAGCGAATAGGTACAAAAGAAGGAACTGGCAGCAGCAGCTCAAGAACAAAGAGTATTGGCTGAATACTTTTCAGAAACTGAGTTACAACTGTTGACTCATGATTATTGATCGACATTAACAAACCCCTGCAGTTTGACCGTGATCATTTTGCGTCAGTCAGTGTCAGGCTTTTACAAAAAGAGCCACGTCTGATGTTTGACATCATCATTTTGAATCCTGTTGGTAAGAATATTCATAACCAGGTCAGAACACAGGACACTCACGAAAAAGGTCAACAATATGCTCTGCATTAATCAGATGAGAATTCCACTGAGACATTTGAGTGATTTTTTCCTCGTGATGGGCGTTTGATGATGTCATGCACATTGGCCTTTTAGGAAAATGCTGTAGATCAATAGGCTGCCTCATTAAAGTCTTATTTATCGATACAGTGAAACTGCTTTCACATTTTTAAACATGGTGTCAAACCCAACATGAAATAAACTGCTGTTTCTTCTGTTACTGTAAATATGAAGACATTAGAAACTAGAGAACACTCGGAGAGCACATACCACCACCAGGCCCAACTGTCTCCTTATGACCCCCATTTAAATTCACTAGATCCAGAATTTAAATTGGATCTGCAACAAGTTGCACAAATTCATAAATATCAATCCCCTTAATGTGCCTGCTTTTTTTTTTTTTTTWAAWCAAGAACCATTAATTAGTTTCTGATAAATGAAGGAATATGTTTAAAAGTGCCCTATCATACAATGTAAATAAAGTGAAAATAAACTCCTGGATCTGCCCCTCGATTCTGATTCAAACTAAATTGAGTTGACTTCTGATCCATAAAACATCCTTCCACCAAATTTTGTAGTAATCCATTCAGCAGTTTTTGCCTAATCTTGCTTACAAACAATCAAAACCAACAAATGGGCAGGGGTGAAACCATAACCACCTTAGTGACCATAATAAAGGAAAAAGATGTGTTTACATGGTATGTTTCCTGGGCACAGACTAATATTTCTTTACATGGAGGTGGCAGGAAACAGTGTAACACACACACACACAATATGTAAAACACCTGTCCGTGTGGATACACAACTACTTTAAAAGCAAAAGAAGATCAGCAGCGAACAGGTTCAAACCTGAGAGGCAGCAAAATTCTCTGGTGGGGGTGATAAGGGATTTCCACAGGCAATGGTCTTAACCACATCACATCACTGAGTTTCAGCAGAGGGAGGAGAGACGTGAGCTTCACCTTTCTTAAGAGCAAAACCTTATCGCTCTGTGTCCTGAAGGTAGACGAAAACCTGAAGGGCCGTTACCAGCTTTATCGTGTCATGTTTTTTTAATTGGCTGAAAGTTCACCTCAACCTTTTTCTTCAGGCAGAAATACTTTTACTCACATGCTCAATAAAATCTAATTTCACCTGATCCTCACTTGGGGAAATTACATAGAGGGAAAAAAACACACTGACAAAAAACAAAGGATTCATTCATAAATTAAAAATATACATTAGCTACACTAATAAATTCCACTTTATTGGACTTAAGTGAGCATGCTATATCAGTACAGTCAGATTTAAGTCTCATTTTATTCCTTAAATCGGACTCTCTTATCTGTTCTAACCTCCGTTTGCACAGTGAAGGCTTCATCAGCATTAATTTTAATTAATTATTTGCAGCTGAATTCTTTATGTTTTTTATGTGATTACCAATGTTTGGTGTCAGTGGTAAATTCTCCCAACTTTGTTACCACTAGTCATTCATCTTTATCTTCAAATCAAAGACAATCCTGGAGATTTAAAGATCATACTTCAACCATACTTGAATGACTGATATTAGCACATATAGAACAATTTACAGTCTTAAAAAGCAATCTAAACAGGCCCTGTAGCCTTAACTGTATTGTATGTTTTCATCTACAAGTGAAAATATTCTTTTAAGCCAAAAAGAAAGTGAAAATGTTCTTGACAACTCTCCTTTCCATTTATATCAAAGTGCCAGAAGGAAACGTATGCATGACTGCATCGAGTGGCCTGAAAACGGCATCAGAGATTGTGCGACGTGACCTCTCTTGATGATATGTAAACAGATGTGTCTGGTTGCACAGTGTCCATCTGGCTAGAGGAGCGGAGGAGAAAGAGGAAGAAGAAGAGGATGGAAGGGGAGAGGAGAGGAAAGATACACAGCTCACATCTGCATCGAGTCAAGTTAGTCTATACGTGGATATTGGAAAAAATAATATGCCTGTTCATTTTTAGGAATAACCCATGAGACAAAATGGCTTCGTTAAGAGATTTGTATTGTGAGTGTCTGCTCCCTCTATCTAATGACAGCCTCTCAGAAAGATTTCAATACCAGCAGAGTTCCCTACCGCTTCTATTCTGGTATCAATTCTCAATTCACAAACCAAAACATGGCGAAACAATATCTGTCACTGTGACTGACAGGTCCGCCTTGAATGGCACAGCTCAAAATGAAAGATATAGCCAACAAGTTTTTGTAATTTTTTTTTCTTTTTAGCCTCATGCTCGTGAATAGAGACCTCTTTATTGAAATCCATGAGTGGTGATGATGCTTTATTGGAGGGAGTGAAAAGAATGAGCACAGCAATGCTCTGGGATTGAGATGGAGCCTTCTTGAATCATTATCAGTCATTTATGCTAATGCTGCCGGCAGATCATGTTCCTAATTAGGTCCAAATGAACAATTAGCTGATTGGGTTGGAGCTGCGAAAAGAGCTGTCAATCAGAAGGAGAATAAGAGGGCAGCAGGGAGGAGAAGCTGTTAATAGATACAAAGACATGAGGCGAGATGACTGGCAAATCACAAAATACCTGCGTACACTGTCTGATAACAGGTAGCACTTGAACACACATCTGTGTGTGTAGTAAGAACTACCTTTTGTTTTGTCCATGTCCCAACCACAAACACAAAGAAGGCATCAACAGATAGCGATTGAGACACTTTGTCTTCACTTTTTGGGAGCTGTCATATCGTTCATATTTATATATGTATGGTCTTACCATAATGCAACTGGAGTAAGTGCAACTGGACCATTTAGGTTTTAAATGCTTGCCGGAGAGTTTCAGAGAGCTCTCAGACTGACTTGAGATTTGATGATGGGAATTCTCCATCAACAGCGACACAGCGAGTAAACATACTGTATGCCAGAACACAAGGTGAGAGGACACACATTCGTCCATCTTTCTGTATTCAGTCAAACTAACAACCTGAAAAGTCAAACATTTCTGCGTTTAACATAAACATTATCTCCATCTAATATCTTAATCTGACGTACACAAAGTGCATTCCTAATGCTCTGTGGATCAATAGCATATTGATCGGTGGTCTTAGTCAGAAACAATTTTTACAGGCTCATATATGAATAAACTGTACACAAAAAACTCCTGGGAGATATAGTCTGTCTCCTGTTTTACAAATGAAAAAACACTAAAAATAAGTGAGGAGTTGCAGTTTTGCATGGGGATACAGGTTTATTTGATTTACACTGCCTAAAATAAGATAAGATCAGATAATCCTTTATTGATCCAAGGGGAATATTTGAGCATTGCAGCAGCCAGAG